TAAAGAATGCTTTCAGCACCTTGTTGAATCAATGCCACATAGAATTAAGGCAGCTCTGAAGGCGAAAGGGGGTCAAACACCGTATTAGTATGGTGTTCCTAATAATCCTATAGGTGAGTTTATATGTAATAATAACTTTAATAAGCAATATTGTAGGGTACTTTTTTTTCCACAATTGGATTACTTTGACTACAATTATATTACAGTATGTGCAAAACAGGATATAATATGGTAGTGATATTGATGCTGATTCCATTTTCAAGAGGATGCAGCTAAACACTGCATTTCACTACCACAGAATACTCAGAGAGGCTCAAAGCTCTGTAACCGCGAAACGTCTATTATATGGAAGGCAACCAAAGACAGAATCGTCAGGCGAGATCGTGGTTGGGGTAGCAGGCATAGAGAAAGCCAGGAGGGTCTGTCCAACAAAGGCGGCACAGGATTACAGGTTTACACACGGCAGGGGTCTGGGGAGATACGGCAGGTATGGAAGCAGGAGCACGACGGGGAGACTGGGTCAGGGCTGCACAGAGGACAAGAGAGAATTGGTCAGTACATCACATGGAATCAACAATACCTTACACTGGAGTGACGAGGGGCAAACTCTTTTATGCGGTCATCCCCAGGTGCATCGGATCTCTGCTGATCAGCAGTTTGCGAGGGGGGCAAGACAGGACCCCCCCCCCGCCCATACAACCGGGCCTACCTGACTGAGAATTCAGAATGGTGAAATATAGCAGGGCGCCAACTTACGGTATTCTGGGAGCCAGAGGTTCTTAGTGGAAAGACAGACCCACTGGCCTGGCCATAGAATAGGGCCTGGGCTTTGGCGCCGCTCCGCCTGATGCTACCATCGACGGGCTCTCGCTTCTAGGATGTGGCTCCATAGGTTCGGGCAATTTTGCTAGAGGACTTAGCCTGCACAACCCTGAGAACCAATCTGTGGTGGTCAGAATTACCATGTGTCCCAACTGAAGAAGGTTGGTGATGAAGTCCAGGGCCACATGGGACCAGGGACGCTGGGGCACCGGCAGGGGTTGGAGGAGCCCTACAGGTTGGAGATCAGCCTTATGCTGAGCACAGAATGGGCAAGACGGAACGTACTCCTCTACCTCCTCCCTCCAATGCGGCCACCAATACCGCCGCCCCACCAGGCGAGTGCTTGTGGCTACTCCAGGATATCTGGAGCTGAGGGAAGTGTATACCCATTGCTTAATGGCCTGCTGATGTGGGACCGGCACATACTTCCTGTTTGACAGGGAGTTCGCTGGTGCCGGCTGATCAGGCGGGAGGGCATGCAGGGTAGCTTCCAGGTCCCACGAGACAGGGTTCAAGAAGCAGGAGGATAGCAGGATCGGGACAGGTTCCTCAGATTCCGTCGGGGGTCAATTGGTGTGATAGGGTGTCAGCCTTCACGTTCCTCTTTCCTGGCATATAAGATACCTTAAAATCAAACCTATTAAAGAAAAGGGCCCACCTAGCTTGTCGAGAGTTGAGGTGTTTGGCTGCCCTCAGGTATTCCACATTGTGATGGTCTGTCAAGACCTGGAACGAGTGGATGACCCCCTCTAGTCAGTGGCACCATTCCTCCAGGGCATCCTTGATAGCCAACAATTCATGGTTTCCAATGTCATAATTATACTGCACAGGTGATAGCTTCCTGGAGAAGAAGGCACAGGGGTGCAGTCTCCCATCAGCAGCATGCTGGGAGAATACCGCACCCACCCCTACCTCGGAGGCATCTACCTCCACCACAAAGGGTTTCGAAGGAGCCGGCTGCTGGAGGACGAGAGTGGTGCTAAATAGGGCTTTAAGCGTCTCCAGAGCTGCCTCGGCCATTGTAGTCCACTGGGCATGGGCCCCCCTGGCCTTAACTCACCGGGGTCGAGTATGTCGTTGGCGACATCGCGTACTTTTCGCGTCTATTTCAGTTTATATCTCGCTGAAATCTTAATGTAGAATCATGAAAAAAACGCTGGCTAAATCCG